TTAAACAATCTATTTTTCAAAAACAATGTATATCACAATGAAAAATTTCAACTTAAACATGTACACAAAACATATATAGTAAATTAAATATTAACTTAATGCAAAAATATATAAACAAATAATAGTATAATTAAATATTTAAAGCTAAAAAAATACCTTAAGGAAGGGACGACGGCTTGGCGACGGCGGGGCAGCAAAAACGGCTTGGCGACGGAGGCAGGGTGAGGTGGTCGTCGACGTTGTCGCCGTTCCCTTGGAGACAGCGACACTAACAACGGCGAACGTCGAGGTGAGGTGGACGAAGGCGGCGCAATTAGACCAGATTTGGGGGCGACAGCGTGGTGTGGAGTTGAAGACGACGGAGAGCACGACGAAGACGAAGAACGGAATTGGAGGTTTTTTTTTCAAAAACGCGAAGGATAAGGTAGGGTTGGCTAATTTTATCACACTCTTTTGGATCGGTTATTACTAATAACCGATTCAAAAGGTATTTAAATCGGTTATAAGCAATAACCGATCCAAAAGATGTCAGCTTTTAAATCGGTTATCCGTGATAACCGATTCAAATACTTTTTGCATCGGTTATTACGGATAACCGATCCAAAAGCTAAGCGATACGCGAATTTTTTTTTGCATTTACATCGTTTGTTTAGCTTAACGATGCAAATGAGGCGATTTATTTGGTCATTTTTGTACTAGTGATTGGATGGTGTGTAAAAATGAAATTGGACAAATACTCTGGGACGGAGGTAGTATGTTTTAGCACAAATCCACACCCCCTCTCCTTGCCACCACCCCGTAGGCTAGCACCACAATCTGCCCGTCACCACTAATGACAGTGTCACGTTAACTATCCATATACTGTCAAGCAAAACATTATAATGTTAAACAAGACAACATACACATATCGTCATACTCTCTCTAGATCTTAATGATTTACACACTTTACTATTTAGAAATTGTAGAAACTTTTGTTTATTTGTGTGATTTCATTGATTATTTGATGAAATAAAATATTCTTGTCACATCTTGTTTTGTATAAATTTTGATGCAGTTTTTAAATATGTAAGTTTTATTTTTAATTATATATCAATCTTTAAATGAAATGAATTGAAAAACTTAAAACTTTACTTTGTTTTGCGTAAAGTGTAAATGATTTAGGGACGGAGGGAATATATGATAGTGTATAATGATATATATGACAATACATAATGATAAATGTGACATTTTATATTGTGAAAATTTAGATTTAAACAACTCAAACAACTAGAGCCCAAAATAATTTAAAACAATTGGTAGAGTACACCCAATATATTCAGATGTACACAAGCAAATATCTACCAAATATAATCCTTGACAAAGTAACTTACAGATTAAAGAACTTCAAGAGTTCATTTACCAAAATTTCCTTGGAGTAAATAGGAGTAAAATATATCAAAATAGGTGTAGAAAAGAAAAATAACCAAAATATGAGTTAAAAGCATTAGCGTTGCTCCCTTTAATTCCATTACAATTCATCTTCCTAACTAAAGGCATCCACGTTGCTCCCTTTAAAAGCATCAGCAGTAAATCTTCTATGTGTCACCCACGTGTTTTCTTCATTCCATTACAATCCCCATCGCCGACCCACAATTACTGCCACCATCGCGACCTGCTGTTGTGGCTCGTCGCCGTGCATTCTACTGTTGTTGCTGATTTCCTACGGCCTACATCACCAAGCATGCCTCCATCGTAGATCAGCCATCATCGCCACAGTACTATAGTGTTACAATTCATGACTGTTAAGAAAAAGTGCTCTTTATACAACGCAACCGAAGCTATAATACCAACTATTACAATCCATAATGTCAAACATAGTACAAAATAAGTATAAATATGCAACTATAAAACGTAAATATGAAAGTAAAATGCTAGACATAGCACTATTTATCAATAAATAGGTTTGTGTATATGTAAAAAAAGCAATTTCCAAAGAAAACAGATCATTCTTTCCACTAAAATGGTGTGAAAAATGCAACATTGGCTTCCATAGTTCCATCCCAACTCAAATTAGACTATCTAATTGCCCACAACAATACAAAGCTCCAATATACAAAAAAAAGGCAAATATCAAAATTGAATCTGAAAAAAATATGGAAGAAGAAAGATAACTTGAGAATCAAGGTCAACGCTGATTTGATCAGAATCAAGAATACATTTGGCGAGGCAAAAGAAAAGGTAGGCAGGAAGACGGTGATGGCAGGTGCAAGAATCAAAGTAAGTTGTCTGAAGTACGATTGTTATAACGTAGTTTATTGTATATTGTGAAAACATCGATATTTACGAGTAAACTCCCTATATATGTAAACAAATTAAAAACCATTCCTGGCAGTGTAAGTCAGAGTTTTATTTCCTAGCAGTGCAACACGAAGTTCGCTACTCCGTTTAATTTCGAAATAATAAAGGAAACGGAGTAGGCTAGTCCGTTTCCCATGATTTTATTTCTCAGACGGAGTACGCTGCTCCGTTCAGATTTAATAATACCCAGACGGAGTAGGTAACTCCGTGTCCCTTCAAATCTCAGATCCACCTATCCACTCCCCTCCCATCCACTCGTTTTTTACCTTGGCCACACAGAAAACCCCACACCGAGAGAGAAGGAAAAGCCTGGCCGAGAGAGAAGGAAACGCCGAGGGAGAGAGAAGTGCGATGAGGGGGAGATCGACGGGCCCAACTCGACTGGAGTCAAGTACTCCGTTTTGTCTTTAATTTTTTTTAAATTTGTTTGATTGTTGTTGTACAAGATTTTGAATTTTGTATAAATTTGATTTTGTAAGAAATATATTTAGTCATAGATTGTATGTATAAGTGCTTTTTTTGTTATATTTGTTTTAATGATGTGAAAATGTTGACAAATATATAGTTTAATCTTACACATTTGATACAAATTTGTATGTAAGTATAGGTGGTTACTTCATGATTTTTTTAAATATAATTGTCTTGTTATATTTTTATTAATTGAATATATTCTTATGTTGTAATCTTTGAAGCAAATGGATGTACATCCGGGACCTATTTTACGCGATGTTTTAGTAATTGAAGCGGGAGACCATAGGTGTGATGCGGTTTGGGCCGAAGAAGAATATGCTAAAAAAGTATTAAAGTGTCACAGGACTTGTACTAGTTTGTATACGAGGACTCTTATTGTTAATAGACAGGTTCGTGTGAGTGAGTTTTTACGAGAATACGGATTTTATGGGGTTGAGAAAGTTGGTGGCTTGCAGTTGGACTGTGCTTTGATCACAGCTCTAGTGGGGAGATGGAGGCCCGAGACCCATTCATTCCATCTTCCCTTCGGAGAGGTTGGAATTACTTTGCAGGATGTAGAGGTTTTGCTTGGATTGCCCATAGATGGCAATCCATTGGCGGGGATGACTGGCCGATCCAAAGATCAGTGGATTCAGATTTGTGCGGACATGATGGGATTTAGGCCTCAAACATCCGACATTACTTCTACTATGATTAAGATGTCTGCCATTGTTCCTAAGGAACTAACAGATCAGAGTTTAGATGTAGATTACTTGCAGCATGCTAGAGCTATTATGTTTAAGTTGTTGGGTGGTAGCCTATTTCCCAACACGATAGGAAATAGGCTTAGTTTGTATCTTTTAGAGATTATCATGGGTGACGCAAACATTGTGCGAGGTCGTGCGATTGGTTCGACAGTACTCAGTTACTAAAATAATACTCACTCCCACCTAACTAAAATAATACTCACCCCCAACTAACCTCACTCTACATATTATAAATACCACTACCTTCTTCATTTCGAATACACCATCACCATTACTCTACACACGAAAATAAACAATGTCACAAGAGAATACTATACTTCTTGTAGCTCATTGGAATGGTGAAATACAAACCCTTAATAGTGAAGTTCAATACTCTGAGCTTCCGAAGAAGTCTTTGTTGTTTAATTCTGATATCTCCTACAACACCTTTCTTGGTCAAATTACTAGTGATGTTCTTGAAGATGGATTCCAAGGCGTGGAATCTGTCTATGGTAAATTTTCCAGACATCAATCTAGGGTTTATGTTGGTTTACGACCTCTCCCAATCAACGATGAACCAATATGGAGGCATTTTATACGAAAAGCATCACGTGAATATGATGTAGTTGAAGTATTCATCGGGGTGTCTAAAAATGTTGAGGAGGAAGCGGATGGTAATCCATTCTTCCACCAACAAATGGATCAGCCCTCTTCATCCCATTTCGCTCAACATATTGACAGCGATCCAGATGATGCTGAGTACATTGCACCCTCAACGGAAGATGAAGAATCTTCGGAAGAGGAAGAGGACATATCTGCAGATGAAGGAGAAGATGGCCAGGACGTTCGTGCAATGCCACAATTACATGACCGGCAAAGTCACGTACTAAATCTGTCGTTGAGGCCAATGTTCCACATCCCAATTATTGAGGTCGACAACAGGTATCCTTCTTTCCAAAGTCTATAACAAGCTGTTTCATTACGGAACATTGCGGAGCATATACACTTTCACATAGAAGCGAAACGGAGCCGCTATTGGAAAGCACGTTGTGTATATGCCCCGCAATGCACTTGGTTCATACAAGCAGCAGAGAATGCTGGGTGTAGTATATGGACCATAAAGCAATATCAGGGGTATCACCAGTGTAGGCCAGATTACACGCGAGCTAAAGACGACAAATTGTTAACTAGTGAGCTCCTTAGTGGCTTGATTGGTCCTAAAATTGAAGAAGATGCTGATTATAAAGTCAAACTCATAATGAGGGATGTTTATGAGTTGTTCCAAGTATCTGTCTCCTATAAGAAGGCATAGTGTGCAAAGTCATTGGCCATTCAGCGATTGTACGGTAGTTTGGAGGACTCATACAACAAGCTGGCTCCTTTGCTCGGTGCAATTATAGGATCAAACCATGGGACAGTTGTGGATTTGCAAACCCTACCTACGAACGCACCGACTACATTTCAGTTCAGGTATGTTTTTTGGTCTTTCAAGGCATCCATTGATGGCTTCCAGTACTGTCTTCCAGTTGTTTCAGTGGACGAGACTCACTTATACGGAAAGTATAAGGGAACTTTATTAATTGTCGTGGCAATGACGGGAAATGGTGACATTTTTCCCTTGGCTTTCTCCATTGTGGATGTTGAAGATGGTGAGACTCACTTATCATGCGACATGTCGTGCCTCCACACCGCCATATATGCATAATATCTGATAGGCACGGTGGTATTGATCACGCATTCAAAAATATTCCAGAATTGCAGGGAGGTCAAGTCACTCGAAGATTTTGTCTCCACCATGTGCGAAGCAATTTCCATATCAAGTTTCCAAGTAAGAAACTGAAGAACATGATGTATAAAGCTGGTAAGACCCCTAGCAGAAGTGAGTTTGAGCAGACGCTTCTCCAGATAGCATCCAAAAATCAAGAAGCATATAACTGGCTTAGGGCTATTCCAAAACACATGTGGGCATTGTCCCACGATGAAGGTGGCTCACGCCATGGTATTACGACAACAAATTCATCAGAAAGCTTCAATCATGTCCTTAAGGGATGTCGTTGTTTACCTATCTTTGCCATTGTGAGGTTCACGTATGACAAATTGGTCAAGCTATTTGTTGATAGGCGAACCAATGGATATTTGTGGCAACAATCTGGGTATAATTTTCCAATGAATGTGTGGAAAAAGATCAAGAACAATGAAGAAAATAGGCTTTATTGTCGTGTTGTACAGCACCACGCACAGCATGGGATATACTCTGTGGTTGTGGATGGGTCCTTCAACAATGGTCACCGCGAGACATTTGTGGTGAATTTAAATGGACGGACATGTACCTGTGGAGATTGGGTAATATATCACATTCCGTGCATTCACGTTCACACAGTATGTCATCAGTGCAGTGTCACTGTGGATCATTTGATTCCTAATGTTTTTTCACTCCAGTCCTACATCAACGCTTATTCGGACATGCTAATGCCGCTTCCCGATGAGGCCGACTGGCCTACCTCAGGATACGAGATTGTGAGACCAACTGCACGAGCGAGAACACAAACCGGTCGACCAACAAGAACTCGCTGCCCGAATAACATGGACTACCGACCACGACGACGTCGCAATGAACAATAGCTCAAATATCCAAGTTTATGTTTTATGATTTTCACAAAATAAATTAGTGATGGCATGTGTTTTGTATCCTTAATTTTATAGATAAATTTTATGTACTCTATCAATAAATTTGTTGTAATTTACTTCTTATTTTTAATTCGGTGTATGGTGCATTATTTAAAGTCAATAAATATTTATTTTAACTATGAATTTTATTGTTAGTAGATTCTTTGTTTCATTATATGTCAATAATTTGTTGATTTTTATAATTTTTTATGTTTTTTTTAAATATAAGAAATAAAGTAAATACTTCATTTAAAAAAATTACGAGTAAAAAAAAACAATGAACGGAGTTGGCTACTCCGTTTCGTAATTAAATAATTGGAACGGAGTTTGCTACTCCGTTTGGGTATTTAAATGATTGGAACGGAGTAGGCTACTCCGTTTCTGGTAAATTCGCTAATCTGCTTTGCTTTATTTGGGAAAGTATATACTCCCTCCGTCCCAAATTATAATGCATGTTTACTATTCACAGGATCAAACTTTATTCACTTTCTTTCTCTATTTTCGTTAGCAATTTGATAAAATAAAATATCATTGTCACTACTAGTTTTGTAGATCTTTTGATGTAGTTTTTTAATATGTAATTTTTATTTTTTAATTCTATACCATTTGTCATATAAAATGGTTTGAAAATAATTTCAGTCAAACATCGTAAACCGAAACAGGCGTTATAAATTGGGACGGAGGTAGTAATAAAGTTACATATAATGGAATACAAAACAAGAACTTACACATGCAGGAAAATCACCCAATATTCACCAATGAACATCATTGTTCAAAACCTACTACCAAAAATTGACGTGAGCTAACCTGGCCTTATGTGATGCTTGGAATTAAAGTGTTATTTAATGAATGGGGAAGCACGAATAGTACTCCCTCCGTCCCTAAACGTCTTTCATGTTTCATTTTTTGCGCATCACATAAAACACTTCTACCGATATCTAAAATGCCTAAAATTTACAACATTTCTTCTTTATTGTGTGTAGAAGTTATTTTGAAAGTTTTTTTTAGCATTCAAGGCGGGATAGAAGTGTTTTATGGGATGCGCAAAAAATGAAACAGGAAAAACTTTTTGGGACGGAGGGAGTAGGAAAAAATATACTCCTTCCGTTCCTTAAAACCCTTCTGCCTTACATTTTTGCGCACCTCACTAAACGCTTTTACTCCCAACTAAAATATCTAAAATATACTCGCTATGTAATTTATTGCGAGTAAAAATTGTTTTAGGGGTATTTTAAACATTTTAATTGGGAAAAAGTATTTTATGAGATGTATAAAAATTTAAATGGAAGTCTTTTGTGGAATGGAGGGAATACTTCATAATCCATACGAGCTAATTAATAGTAATAATTACAACTTCCGGTTGTAGACTTGTAGTTTAGCCATTAACCCACTCTTCCTTCCCATTACGCCATCAACCCACCCACCCACCCACTCCCTCTAATTTCTTACCTTCCCCACTTTCTCTCTCTTTTTAATTTCTTTTCCGTTAATTGTTTGCAGTACTTTCTTTCTAAATCTAAATTTCTTTTATCCCAATCTCTACTTCCTTTCTAAATTTCTTTCTTCTTTTTTTTTGAACTTTCTAAAGAGAACTCTATATAAACCTTTGGAAGCAAATAAAGCGAATGCGCTCTCTTCTCCTCATTCGTCACTCTCTGCGTCATTCAACAATGGCCTCTCCCAAACTCTATGCCCTTTTCGTATTCCTTCTCTCTTTGTTTTCGCGTCACTCTGCCTCCGACGACTCCTCCTCCTGCTTCCTCGGAATGAACTACGGCCGGATCGCCGACAACCTTCCGTCTCCGTCCAAGGTAGTTGAGCTGCTCAAGAGTCAGGGGATCCGCCGGGTCAAGCTCTACGACACTGACTCCGAGGTTCTCGCCGCTCTTTCCGGATCTGGCATAACCACCACTGTCGCGCTTCCCAACGACCAGCTGTCCTCCGCCGCCGCCGCCGACCGGACCTTCACCGACTCCTGGGTGCGGTCCAACGTCGTGCCGTACAAGTCCATCATCGAGGCCGTCGCCGTCGGCAACGAGGTGTTCGTCGACCCGGCGAACACAACCTCGTACCTCGTCCCGGCGATGCGGAACGTCTACGCCTCGCTGGCGA